TGGAAAAGTTTTCCGTTAAAAGCATTTTCGGAAAAGCGCGTCTAGATTGGCAGGACGCTTTTCCACAAAAAAGCCCCGATTGCCATTTTCTCAGTTGGGGCTTTTTTGCGGAAAACAGTACTGTGCTGTCTACACTGGCCCTTTTGTGCAAAAGTTTTTCGGAAAAAGACTTTTGCCCTAACGGGAGCAGCATAGTATTTCCAGAAAAGCACTGATGATCTTACATGAGATCGTGAGTGCTTTTTTGGAAATTCAAGCGGCCAGTGTAGACAGCTGGCAAGCTTTTCCGGAAAAGCGGCTGATTTTCCAGAAAAACTTGCCAGTCTAGACACAGCCAGCAGGTTTAAAACAAACAAAAGGAAGTTTTTCTTCACACAGTGCACAGTCAATCTGTGGCACTCCTTGCCAGAGGATGAGGTGAAGAGTAGGACTTTAACAAGGTTCAAAAAAGAGCTAGATAAATTCATGGAGTTTAGGTCCATCAATGGCTATTAGCTAGTATTAGTAGGAATGGTGTTACTAGCCTCTGTTTGTCTGGAAATGGGTGATAATAGAAGGATCTTGTGAAGATTACTTGTTGAGTTCACTCTCTCTAGGGCATCTGGCATTGGCTACTGGCAGGAGATAGGATACTGGGCTAGATGGACCTTTGGTCTGACCCAGTATGGCCATTCTTATGAAAGTTCTCACCATTGCATTTTGTCCATTTGAACTACTTCATCATCATCATCACCTTCACAAGGTACTTTTGTCTAACCCAATACGTCAGGAGTAAAAAGCCAAATCTAAAGATTCTTTTAGGAAACTTCAATAACAGGAATCAAATTTATGGCATGTGCTGTCATATATGCTGCTGACAAATAGTGAGCTATCAGTTATGTGGCTGCAAGAACTAAAATGTGAACACAACATCAAATGTCCTTTACAAAAGAGCTGGCTAATTCACAACAGACATGCTGTGCAAAGACAATAAAGCAGAAGCCAGATTTTGTAAGAGTTCTGGAAATGATCTGAGTTGCTGACTACGGTCCTAATCTCTCCCACTGAAGTCCAAGTTTTTATAGATACATATTCAGATTAGCCTGTAATTTAGGGTTATCAACTTCACATAGTGGAGACATCTAAATTTCATTTATAATGATATTCAGTGGCTGGAGGTATAAAGGAGGACTTATAGCCCTTGAGTTACAGAAGAATTCCCATTGATTTGTATACAGAAGATTTTTTCACAAAGGATAGAATGTCTTCTATATAGTAGTTAAACGTTGAGTGTAATTATTTGTGCAGTACCTTATCACACTCAGCATCACTCAGCTTCTGTTTGTCCATTTTCTTCCTTCCCCATCACTCCTTTTACATGCATTTGTGTATCTCCTGTATTCTGCACTTTACATTTGTTTCCATACCGTTATGCCAATTCTTACCTTTCTGTGTCTGTCACACTAGCCCCCTTCCCCTTTCTATCCACTAAAGTGATCAACAATGTAGGAGTTAATGCCAATGGCAAAGGGGTCATCACTTGACTCAAAAATTAACACATCAATGAGATTAAAAGTGGGCAGGTGAGTTTCCTGCCTCTGAGTTACTGTTCTAGACTAGCAGTAGAATTGACAACACTGTATTAATTTTACATTAGATTCACAAATATGAGGGTCAGAAACTTACTTCTTTAAAAATGGATGCTTAGATAATGCACAATCCCAATGCCATTTAGACCAGATGTATCACTATATGCAGCCCAGAGACAAGGTATTTGGTAGCACCAATTAATGTTACTTGTGAAAACAACAGGGAGTTGTAGGGCAATTTAAAATGATCTGTACAAAAATCTATTTTGTGTATTTAGTGCCCATTGTGTCATTAAAACTGCATTATGAAGAGATGCCTAAACATAATATGGTCCATTACTTCTTGTTTGTTCTCTTCCCTCCAAACTTCTGTCTGTTCCTTTTTTTTAGAATGTGTTGTCATGGCAGAGCATGCATTTTGTATGTATATATGGGCTATCACTGTACTGAACACAGGAAGGGGTAGTTCTGAAATCCATTATTTGAAAATACTTTGCTACAATGTATACTTTTACTACAATGTGTACAATGTACCCCTAACTTTCCAAGTTAGGCTGCTTCTCTGTTTCACAGTATAGGCACTCCATGAGTGACAAATGTCTGACTTATGAACATCCATGTGTACAAACAAAAGCTCCCTTGGAGCCTCTGGCAGGCATGTTCTTAGGATTTATGGCGTCCTACACAGTACTATGAAACTGGTGCCCTTATGCCCAATGGCAGCCTGGGGGTGAGGGGGAACGATTTTTTAGATATATGATCTTATATTATTCAGCAACATACTAATGAACTATTTTAAAGCAAATTTTAAACTAAGGTCTGGTAGACTAACAGTAAATTCAAAAACTGACAGTTGGCAAATGTCTGTTAAATGGCTTCCATTACCACTTGAATAGCTCTTTCACAATGAGCAGGGCTGCATGCAGCCCATATGGGGGTGGGGACAGCTGGGGACTGGAACTGGCCACAGGAGCCAGTGCAGAGCTTGTGTGGTGGTCAGGGCAACCAGGGGATATCCAGAAGTCCCCTTCAGAATCTCCACCTACCTCCTCGGTATCCTCTAATTAAACCTGCCTTTCCTCAAGCACCAGCATTCAGGGTTAAATTAAAAAACTATTTCTACTATTTTTCATTGCAAATATACAGTATCAGCTACATTGTGGGTTAAATGGGTTTTTGTGGGCTAGCCTGGGAACCTAATTACCATGTATAACATAGATTCTATGGGAAAATGCATTCCAAGTTCTAAACAACTGACTTACAATCTTCTCAAACATGACCCATTTGTAAGTGTATGTCTGTTTGAAAGTAATCCTCTAACCTATAAATGGTGGGCTGAGGAGGAGAGGATGGTTGTGGAGGCATTTAAAGAGTGCAACATATGAACCCTCCCCCAGAAGGACAACCCTGGGGAAATCCAAAGATTGAGACACAGAGAATGGCTGGGTGATGAAGGAAAACAGGGATGTGGGATAAAATGGGGAGGGTGATAGAATATTGAGGGAGTACAGGAAGAGGGCAGCATGGATAAGGAAGTGTAGTCTAATAAAAGGGATTAGAAAAAAATTCTGTACATAATGGGGAACAGGCTTGTTGACAAGAGGAGCCTAATTTACTTAGTGATCTTTCTAAGATCAGTAATAGGATCATTATGGGCATAGATTGACTTCCGTAGGGCTCTGCATGTTATGTCATTGCAGGAAGTGGAGTATAACCGCACAACTTTATTTTCATGAAACCCATTTTTACCCTTCCCTCTATTGTTCCCTCCTCCCCACTGTTGGTAGCACTCATTTATTGTATTATGTGTGCCATGAGACTGCATGCTTTCTGGGCAGGGGATCCCTGTAAGGCATGTAGGCAAGGTTCTAAAAAAATAATAATTTAAAGTGTTCCCTGTATAACATTAGGTAAGAAGCCTCATGTAATGTAAGAGGCACTACTCACAACATGACATCAATGCAGTATATTCATAGCAGCTTTCCAATAACCACATTTTTCTTCTCACCAAAGCAACTGAAAACAACACAGAGAATAAATCTCCTTTGGCAAGAGCAGTTACCAGCCCTTAACGCAGCCTCTCAGTCAAAGAAGATGACAACAGAGCCAATCATCTTCTGAAGTGTACAAATCAAAAGTGGCTGATTCCTTGCAGTCAGCTACAATATTGTTTCCTTTGCCCTCCTTACCAGCAAGTGGTCGTAGCAAAAATTACTACTGATGGCATGTGACAGGCCTACATCACATTTTGACATTAGCTTTTAGCTACTGTTTTTTTTATAGCTGCCAGTGTATTCAGTCAAATACCTGTCTGTCATAACAATCAGACAGGCCTTAATGTCTCTGCATTATGAAAGAGGACCTTGGCGTCTTTCCAGTGTTTTATTATAGTCCCAGTATAGCATTTTATCACACATTCCTTACACATAGCCATTCCTGCACCACCATAGAAATCTTCCAAGTTGGCAGCTCTAGTGTCTACTGCCATTAATCTTTCCTAGGCTGCAAAGAGTGGGTTGGTGGGTGATTTATTTCAATTACCTGTTCTAGTATAGCAGAGCTCAGGTGAGTTGAACTTAGCTGTAGTTACTGGGATGGATTTCATCCCCAAACAGCCAGGGAGGATAAAATGTATCTCTGCACATCAGCAGTCACTTACCCTCTCAAATATTATTCAGTTAAATGGGAAAAAATACATATTTAAATAACAGAGTTGATGACACTGATAAAAGACTTGAAATTTAGAATTACTGGCAAGGCTGACTCAAAGTCAGAATTAAAGGCTGAAATCCCATTTCTTTTGTTTATGTTAGAAAAGCACTATGTTCCAAGGAGGCTATAAAATGCACATTCTTTACCTGAGACTTCCCAAGCTGGATATTATTTTGATTTTAACTTTTATTTTTGGGTCTTACTGATGATTTCTTCTTATTTGGGCTGACAGGGGCCTGAAGTGATGTGGGGGAAGCATAAGTTGTGCCAATTGATACTTCAGGCCAATTAAGGAGTGATGTTAATGGGTTCTCAGGGAATCTTGTTAAGCCTTCCACTTCTAGAACTCTGATGCCAGCAACACAAGGCTGAGGGGGACATTTAAAACACAGAGAAATGAAGAAATCTTCAAATATCACTTAAGAGGTTTCTTCTCTGGTGGGGGTGGAGAGATTGTGTATTATATTGGATATGTATCTAAATAAGTAATTTCTTTTCTTCTGATAAGTGATTTAAAAAAGCATCTAAATAGGATATTGTCTCTGATGCTTTATTTATTTGTTTAATTGTGGTAGTAAAATGAGGGTTTGACACATCTGTAAATAGCCCTAGCATTAGGTCATCTAGAGTCAGGTCACAAAGGAAACAGCAGTATCAACAATTATTAGGTACTGTTTGGCCACTAACCATGCTAGTAAATGCCCCAGCTGACCAACACTGAGACAACATGTGGGCAAACCTGTAGTTACCATCTCCTACTTTTTCACTTGGACTTTGTTAATGAGCAGCCTTGACCCTGTTTCAGGTCATCTTGTATTTGCAGCACAAGTCTCATCATAGCCAGTATGAGCAGTTGCTCTTAGAGCACAATGGATGGAGCCTTTGCTATACTGCTATATTGGTCCCAATAATTTATCCCAGCGATTGATTCCTGTTTGAGGATTCATGCATGTGTCCCATCAGGCTATGCCTCCTCAAATCACCCAGTGACCATGATAGTGGAGAGAGGGTAGGGGGATTCCCCCATCTTCTCCCGACCACCTCAGACCTAGAGACCAAGTCTGTCCTTTGAGGGGTCCCACCATTTCTGGGTGGCAGTGTTCCTAGAGGCAAGATGCTCATGTTAACTTTTAAAATGTTTTAACTTTTAGCTACGATTGGCTCACACCCAAGCCATAGTTCTGTCAGAGTGGAGGGTTCCATTCTGGGACCCTGGTTACAAAATTCTCTCTCTCTCTCTCTGCTTCATGCTAGGAAACAGAAATGGCAGCTATGTATGCACTAAAGTCCAAGGAAATACCACTACCTGGGCCGGTTCCACCCGTTCCCTCTGTCTCACTTGTGGCAGTGATCCTACAAAAGTCTGCACTATTTCCAGTGAGAGAAGTGGCCCCTGAAGCACCTCTGATAGGTGAGAGAGAATTTTCATTTTTATTTCAGCTGAAGAAAATCCATTGATCAAAGCACCTTCAGGCTTTCAGGTGTTTGAGATCTTGATGTGAATTTTGCAGTTTGAGCCCATGTCTAGTTCCTCTGAGTGATTTCCAAAAGCTGGAATATTTTATTGTTTGCTAGACAGTCTAGTGAAAATGCTTCAGCTTGTATGTGCTTTAGTTAGAAATGTCAGTGAATTGGTAGGGCCCCTTCTCTGATGAACTGAAGAGGTGTTCTGCAACAGTATTAAAAAGGCCACACACAAGAGCTTCTCAAATTCGCATATCAATGCTTAGCCTATTAGAAGCTAGTAGAGTGAGGGTCTCATAGTACATACCTTGTCACTGCTTGATGCTCAGGCTTGCTATGACATCCTTTATTTAGTTTCTGCACCAGTGAATATAATGTTGTGGTGTGTTGAGTGTACATCTGAACATTTAAAAGCCCAAATTTATCTTCAGTCTGTAGAGCTCACAGCTGCTCCACTTTTTCTGATAATACCAGGAAGCAAAATATGTTAACATAATAAAGACTCAGGGTTCATTTATTAAATACCTCAGTATGTGAAAGTGAATAGCGTCAGGGATACAAAAGATTGTTTTAAAAAAGGCTTGTAATAATATGTTCACCGTATACCTCCTGTTTCACTCAAATGTTATATTAAACTTTAACATAAATTGAAAGTTTTGTTGAAATTATTGTATACATGGTTAAAAATCAGGAATGAAACTTAGGATCTTCTGTCAGTAAGATCAGCATGATCTCCCTTCAGATAGAAAGTAATACATATTTTATTAAGAAAATCTGGCATGTTTAACTTATTCAATAATATTATTGATTATTTTCACAATGCAAATAATTCTGAAGGTGCTTTGCAAACAAAGAAAGGGTATGTCTAAACTACGTCCCTTTTTCAATAAAGGGATGTAAATTAGACATATCAAAATTGTAAATGAAGCCAGGATTTGAATTTCCCATGCTTCATTTGCATAATGGCGGCTGCGGCTTTTTTCAAAAAGCAGCTTTTCGAAAAAAACACGCGGTCAAATTGGGGATCTTTCGACAGAAATGCCCTGTTTTTGAGGGTTACAGGATCTTTCAAAATGGGGCATTTCTGTCAAAAGATCCCTGTCTTGACCATGTTTTTTTTTCTGAAAAGCGGCTTTTCCAAAAAAAAGCCATGGCTGCCATTATGCAAATGAAGCATGGGAAATTTAAATCCTGGCTTCATTTACAATTTACTGAAAAGAGATGTACTTTAGACAAACCCTAAGAAAAGTCATCCACATAATTTGGGTTTATAGCCCAACTTAGATAACGAAAGACAAAAAAAATTGGACAATTTGGGAAAGGGAAGTGTCTGTATAGATCATGAGCATCTACAGCCTTGGCTCAAAGACCATTATTTTAGCCAAGGCTGTATCAGACTCATCGGTCACTACCAGCCTTAGCCACCACTAGGGAGAAACAGAATGCCACTCCAGGCAGGGGTTGCAAAGGCAACAGTAAACAAGGTGGATTGGGAGCACTGTAGAGAGCAAGAGCGGTGGAAAGATAAAGTGAAAGGAGGGAAGTTGGTAAGAGGGTAAAGTTGTATAGAAAATAACTTGAGGATGAAGACAATGAACTTGGACTTAGTGTGGTAAAAGGCCAGGAGCCAATAATTCAGGCAAGAAGTTGACATGGTTGGAGCAGTGGGTAAAGGACCTCAGTATGGATTATTTTGGATAGACTGGAGGTATAGAGGTGAAAGACTGGGAAGGTCAGAGAGGAGAAAGATCTGACAATAAAGGCCCTTTGCAGTTCAGTGCAGCATGTGGAGCAGTCACCACTGTACTTAGTCGGCTGAAAGCATAATGGAAATGGTCTTCTTCCAGTTTCCAAAGGGCCATGCAAAGGCTAGCTCTTTGTGAGCCTGGCTATATAGTGGAATGATTCAGCAAACAGAAAGGTGAATATGGATAGATGCAATCCTATGACCTAGTCACATTCCCATGGCAAAATTCATATTGACTTTAATGGGAGGGAGTGGCCTAGGCTTGCCTATAGGGTGGTGAGAGGGGACAGCTGCCTCAGGGCCTGATGATTCAAAAGGGCCTGGGGCTCCCATTCACTATGGTCACTACTGCAGCAGTGATGGCACCCAGAGCCTCAGGCCCTTTAAATCACCACTGGAGTGCTGTGTTGTATATTCCAGGCAGCACTGTGGGGAGGGAGGAGACATGCTACGGTCTGGTCCGGGCAACGCACTCCAGGCAGCACTGGGGGGAGGGGGGAGACATGCTACGGTCTGGTCCGGGCAACGCTAAGGGCTGGTTTTCTCCAACCCTGCTCCTTCTGCCTGAGGCCTCCCCCCTTCTGGGAGCATGGAGCTGTCCCTCCTTGTCTTGCCCAGGCACCCAGTGAGGCTGTTGGCTCACTTGGAGTGGTCCTGTGTTGTGATATGGACAATCAGTATAGAGAAGCCATAACATTTTTACATGGAAGGAAGTTTCCAATATAAATCACACACCTTAAACTTAACAGAAAAAGGGTTACTTGTATTTATTATTAAATTGCAGTAGCACTTACAAACCTCAAGCAGGTGCAAGGTCAAGGTGCTGTTGTGCAAGGCATTTTAAAGAGTTCTAATAAAAGACAGCCCCTGTCTCAAACAACTTGCATCGAAGGTTATGTGTACATAGCCCCGAAGTTCAGACTACAGTGGCTTGCATGCTGCACCATAACTCCCCTATGTGGACACTGAAGGCATGAATTAAAAGGTGCTCGTTTGTATTAACATATTCTGTTTAACGAGGTTAAGGTACCTTTTAAGTTTGCACCTGTAATGTCCACATAACAGAGTTACAGCACCGCATGGTAATATGTACTGTGGTTTGTACATCCATAATCTAAACTGCAGGGATTTGAAGATGAGCCCTAAGAGAACAGTTTATGGCTACAGTGATCTGTAAAAACGAGAATAATATGAAAACAAATCAGATTTACAGAGTGTAAATTCATATTTTTCTCTAATTTTTTGCTATGTGGAATTCAATTATCAATATTTAATTGTGGCTTGGGCATAACTGTAAACAGCCTTCCCAGTTCAGCAAAATTAACTTAACCGCTAATATAATGAATGTTAATTCTTTAGTGCAATAAAGCTAAATATCAGTGTATTTTTGAGCATCATAAGCACAACACAGCAAACAATTCCTAGCAAATAATTTGACAAATGTAATCTATTTTTTTCTGATTTCAAAGGTGTCCGTGCAGTTTACAATTTTCTTAAATATAGTCTTATTCAAAATATTGTACCAATTTTTTACAAGTAATTCTTGTTCTGTTCACCAGTAATTCTCCAAGAGCAGAAGTGGACAATAATTTTTTATGGGGGCCACTCCAAGAATTTAAGTGGTCACGGGTTGCACTCTTCCAAATTATGAATGGAGGAGGTACAGGGTCTGGGATGGAGTTGGGTGCAGAAGGGCACTTGGGGTAAGGGACTAGAAGGAGGAGTGGGATCTTGGAAGGAGTTTGGGTAAGGAAGGAGTTATGACCTGGGTAGGAGATTGGGTTGCAGGCTCTGAGAGGGGGCATGTGTGCAGGAGCAGGGGTGCAGAGTGTTTGGGTTACATGGGATAGAGGTGCAGGAAGGGGACAGAGTTGGGGAGAACGTTAGGTTGGGGTGCCAGAGGCAGGCTCTGCCCAGGAGACATTTACCTGGGTTGACTCCTGGCCAGCAGCCCAGAAGATTCCTCAGCCAGGCTTCCTGCCTTCCATGCCACTACAGGCTTCTCAGAACAGTCAGCTGTAGGGGACACATGTGCTTCTCTGAACACTGTGAGCCTGGGGGGCAGGAGGGGTACTTTGCGTGAAGCCTGTCCTTCAAACAAGCAGCTCCTATTGGCCGGAAACTGGCCAGTGGGAGCTACGAGAGTGTATTGTGGGTGGGGACAGTGTGAGAAGCATCTTCTTCCCCTTCCCCTGGGCTCACAAGTGTTCAGAGATGCACATATCCCTGCAGCTGGCTTTTCTGAGTGGTGCAGGGGCAGAACAGGCAAGGACCCTCTCTGAGGTTCCTGCTGGGCTTGGCAGGCTGGATTCAGTCTGCAGGCCATATTTTGCCTGTCCCCACCGAAGAGTATTCAATATCTGAAAAATGAGGTGTTGCTTTGTTTTGATTGAACAAATAAGTTTGTTTTTTCTACCTTTCGTGGGTGAGTGGAAATTTTTGACTAAGATTGCCAATGTGATTAGGAATTAAAAATGAGTTTTTAGCATGTATTCACCAACTATAACTTAAAACTCATCATTGTGATGAAAATTCCTGCTAAAAAATGTATGTTTTATAATACTGGTTGAAATAGACCTCAAGAGATGTGATAAAAGCTGAAACAAATGGAAGGTTTTTTTAATGAATATTTACAGATAATTTTAACACATTCAACTAGTCCTAATTATAGAAACATGAGGGATTATCATACTGGCTCAGATCAGAGATTTGTCTAGTACAGTGGCTTGTACTGGAGATTTCAGAGGTACAAGAAATCCTGCATTGTAATTTTGTAATAAACTAGCCATAGGGAAAATTTCATCCTATACTCCTGCAGTTAGGGGTTGCCTTGTGCCCTGAACATGAGGTTTATGTCTCTTAAATATTTTATCCTATCTAATGTAACTATGGATATTTTCATTTTCTATAGAAATGTTTAATCCTCTCTTTTGAATACTGCCAAGCTGTTGGCCTTAGTGATAAGAACATTTTTAAGTATCCTACACTATATCCTCCCCTTTTTTCTCTGTAGAGCATTGCTAATAGATTTAGTCACTAGTAGTGGTTTCTACATAAGTGATTTCCTTGAGGACAGTCAACGTTTAACATGTTATACATTAAAATAATAAAATAAAATGATAAACTCATGGCTATAATATAGATCTTAAACATTTGTGTCTATAATGTTTGTTACAATCCTGTTCCAAAGCTCATTCAAG